ACACTGATCCTTATGGGGAAATTTGGTTCGGTTCGCGACCAATTTGGTTCGCGACCAGAATTGTGGAATGAATTAAGTTCGTGAACCGAGGTACCACTGTATTTATTTAGTATTGAGAGAGAATAATAGCTGCACACATTCAAACTGCAAGGTTTAAAAAAAATCAGTGCATGGATACAGGGATGTCCACAGGAAAGAGGTCCAAAAAGTCACCATGTGGGGCCACAACTATGCATTATAAAAAGGGGGCGGGGCTTTGATTGCATGGTTGTGGCCCTCACCCTGATTTTCCAGAGGACACCCCTGTATGGACAGCAGGCGAAACTCTTCCCTTCAAGGAGAGCACGGGAGTTTAGGAGGTCGGAAAAGCCTTTTCTTGAGAAGCTGCACACAGAAGCAGGCTTTTTTGGGTGATTGTAACAGATCGAATTCTATCACCAGCAGAGTGGCGCAGCGGAAGCGTGCTGGGCCCATAACCCAGAGGTCGATGGATCGAAACCATCCTCTGCTAATTGTTTTCCCTCTCTCCAAAAGCTCCTTACATTGACTTTTTATTTTTTTAATGTTGCTAGCGACTCTTTCCCGACACAGCTTTACCCTCTTTCCCGTTCCTGAACACTCGGTCATCAACGATATGGATTCACCGTTCCATTACTGTAAACCAGCGGAGGGAAAAAAAATTGCAGCGAGGGACATTTCCATCGGGACCTATCAAGGTCAAAGCGTGCTTTTTTAAAACTTTGTACTCCAAAGCGTCACGCTAGGATGGGGGTGGTTGCTATTTACAGGAAGGTGTGAAGAACAAAAGCTGTGCGCCCAACGTGGGGCTCGAACCCACGACCCTGAGATTAAGAGTCTCATGCTCTACCGACTGAGCTAGCCGGGCTGTTGCAAAGTAGCCCCGTTTACATAAATTTACTCCGAGCTAGGTTAGGCATGCTTTCCTTGCTACCTTGCAGTCAGGGGAAGTAAATGGTGGTCCGAAACAAGGGCTCCATCTTTTTCCCAGGTTGAAGAAACACGATGTTCTCAGCCAAACTGCAACCCCTGCACAAGATCTCGCTGTGCGACGGGGGGTGGGACTCCCACCACCCTCTCCCTCTCCCTCTTAAATCAAAAACCTGGAAAACTCACTTCGAAATGTTAGAAGACTCAAGAGGAACGTGAGCTGTACGCTGTAATTTCAGTTTAGCGAGACGTTTTGTTTTTAAAACTCCCCCTCCCCCCCAAAAAATATGCCCTCTCTGAGGCTCGAACTCAGGACCTTCAGATTATGAGACTGACGCGCTGCCTACTGCGCTAAGAAGGCACATGACGCAATATGTTGGCATCTTCAACCTAGAAGTTACAGCGATGTTCTATTCCCCACTCAGAAGCAAGGGATAGGTGGCTTAAACCGCCTTTGGGAGTACCCCGATTCCTCTCTCTTGGACCCTAAAGGCGAGCAGAAGTCCTAGCCAACCCTATTCTCCACCGATTGCCCTCATTCCTACTGTTAGGGTCCAAATCAGGTGTGCATTGATCGGCTTTATTTCTCAGCCTTTCCACTCCAATGGAAAACTCAAAGGACTTTGATCAGTTTGGAAGTTTCTGTTCTTTTTACTGTTTCGTGTGCAGCCCAGAGTTGTTACAATAGGGGTGGCTATATCAGTCTTATTAAATAAGTCAATGGGGCGGACAAGAATTGGCAGGATTCAATTTGGAGTAAACGCAGACTGTCTGATGCAAACAACCAGGCTCAAACGATCCTACTTCGGACACATTATGCAAAGACCCAACTCTCTGAAAAGGCTCTCATGCTGGGAAAGGCGCAAGGAAAGGGAAGAAGAGGAGGACCAGCAGCGAGGGGGATGGACTCAGCTATAGTAGCCATGAACGCACCCTTGGGAGACTTGAAAGAACAGCTTAGGGATAGACTGGCATGGAGAAGATCTATCTGTGTGGTCGCCAGGAGTCAGAAATGACTCGATGGCCCATAATCAATCAATATCTATAGTTTTTTTTTATATTGTATTGCTTTTTAATTAATAACAAAAAAGAAAAACACAATGGTAATAATGATGGAGATACATACATTGTCGAAGAGAAAAAACTAAAAAGGTGCTTTACAAAAAAGTGAAAGAAATACAGCAAAAAATAGTATATGTCATTATAACAGTAAACAATTACAGTTCTATCTGTAGCAAATATTATTCAAGTAAGTTTATCTATCTAATGCATTTATATGACAATCATGTTTTTTTAACCTACTGTAATTTGTATAAATGAGTCCCATATTTCATTATACTTGTCCATAGAAAGTCTACGTCTGTAGGCAATCACCTCATAAGTGGCAAGCACAATCAGGTCTTCAATCCACTGAATAACTGAGGCCATAAATTTATCTTTCCAATGCTGCAATATCAGCCTTTTGGCCATAGTAAGGGCATGGAGAATCCATTTATATTATCCAGTTGTCAAGTTCCATGTACTAGGTATGTAATTCAAGAGAATTATCCTCTGAAAATTTTAGCTTTTGTTACACAGTCACATTTATATGGATTATTACTTTCTCCCAAAACTTAGTAAGTATAGGACATTGTAAAAACATGTTTTAAAGAGGTATTGTCCTTATTAAATCTCCAACAAAATGCTGTCATAGACAATTCTTTGTATAAGACATAATAGAGTCTGGTAAATTCTCAATACTATTTTTTGTTGTATAAGTCATAGTTTAAGGTCAATTGACACTCTTGCTATAGAGGTTAAGACACTCTCCCATTGATCAAAAATTCGGAAAATGCCTAACTTGACTCTTCAGGCATGTCTCACACTCACACACGAACCAAAGAGAAACAATTCTTTACATATTCATTTATTTTAAAAAAATATACAGTCCAGTCATGTGTGGTGCTATGTATTATATAAAGAAACGTCAAATAATTACAAAAAGGAAATACAAGTAAAACAAACTCAGTTTCTTTGGTAACTCAGACAGGGAGAATAGTTGTTGTTGGGTGTTGGTGAACACTGGCATGTCACCCAAAACATCATGGCATGTCATTTTTGACACGCATGTCCTAGGTCTAGGCAATATAGGAACCTCTAATTCTTTATTCCACTCATCTCTCAGCATCTGCATATCAAATTGATCTATTGATAACAAATATCTATAAAAACTAGAAGACTTTTTTTTAGTTTTAAAGGATTTAACAACTTGTTAAACAATTAACAATTTAGCATGGGAAAAAGGATTGAATCTTTTTTTATTAGACATTACATTACATAGCTTTCTGACATAATTGTTTCCAGAGATACTAGAGTTCTATTGTATTTAGATCCTAATACCGTCCATCCAACCAAAGGTATTATATATGTATATTCCAACGTTGCCCAAATCGGAAATTTAGCACCAATTGTTGGTTTCCAGTATTTAATACTTGACAGTAGGTAAGCTTGATGATATAGCTCCAGATTCAGAAAACAGAATCCTCCCTCATTAATTGGCAATTGCATTTTCTGTAAAGATATTCTTGGAATCGAAGAACCCCCTAAACATTTTCTAAACAAAGAATTTATTTTCTGAAAATATTTTCCAGATATTTGAACAAGAATTCCTCTCAGAATATACAGTAAATGAATCTGGGAATAATTTTCATTTTAAGAGTGTTCACCTTTCCCCAAAGGGTGAGGTTTAATGACCCCCATCTATCCATATCTGAGGAAACCTCTTTATATATTCTATTTATATCATATGTTCCTGAGTTATATCCTTTGGTATACATATAATATTTAATGCATTCGGTACAAACGCAGAATTGATATTCCTTAAATGGATGGGTAACCAAATTTTCACCTACTGGCATCAACTCCAATTTGGACCAGTTAATAGAATATCCTGCTATTTTACTAGAGGCATCTATCATTTGCATCAACACTGGGATAGTAGTGTGAGGTTTAGGAATAAAGAATATTGTCTGCAAATAAAACCAGTTTATATTCAACCGAATTATGCACTACTCCGTAAATCTCCCCGTGTTGTCCACGAGCACAAGCCGAGGGTTCCACGCAAATATTGAAGAGCAACGGTGAAAGTGGACATCCTCACCTAGTGTCTCTAAATAATGGGAAAGTAGCAGAAAACATACCATTAACCTTCACTTTAGATGTGGGCGACTCATATATCTCGATCCATTTTATGGATTCCAAAGGAAATCCGAATCTATTTAGTACAGCAAACATATACAGTTGATGTATTTTGTCACAGGCTTTTTCAGCATCTAATGATTAAATTATAAATTGATATTTATTTGTATTCACATCTGTTAGATCTACAACTAACCTAATGTTGTCTGCTGCTTGCCTAGTTTTCTTACACCCAAATCCAAGAGGACCAGATGCAAGTCCACCCACGCCCTGGAAGACCTTGGAGCAGGTCCTCTCCCGGCCTAGCCTACCTCACAGGGTTGTTGGCAGGGCAAGAAGTAGAGGAGTGCTACTTAGCTTTAAAACAGGGATACGTTTAACCAAAATCAATCCAAATAAAATAAGTTGCAAGGCAAGCTACTGGTATTTGATATCATCAACTGTGGGGTTGGCTAGTCCCTCAGTGGCCTGGCGTTGCTGCCTTGAACCATCGGCCTCCTGGACTTCTTCCCTTTTGTTTTCGTGAATGTATTGTGATAGGTTTTAATTGTAATTTATTTATTGTTTTAACAGGTTGTGAGCCACCCAGAGTCCCCCATCGGGGGGAGATGGGCTGGGGGACAAATTTAATAAATAAATAAGGGTTAGCAGTAAGTCCCTTTAAATATAACAGGATTAAACAAGAAGGAAAAGCAGTAACAATACTTTCTTGGTACAAATCCTGGTCAGATTAGCCAGCAGGTATCTGTGTATTCCAGTGTTCCTCAACTTCAGCAACTTTAAGACGTGTGGACTCCAGCTCCCAGAATTCCCCAGCCAGCAAGCAATATTTTTAAAATGCACTATTTGTCCTAGGAGGAATTGAACAGATCCATTTCTCCCCTTCGTGCCTAAAGCAAAGGCGCATTTGTCGTCTCCGCTGGCGGCTACGGCCGGCTGACACTTTCCCTCTTTTCAAAATTCCCGCGCTTGCAATGATTGGCTCAAACCCCTTTTCAAAAACCCCCGCGCCGGCTCGATGGGAGCCAATCGCCCTTCCTTCTGCGTTCAGCATTTTGCTAAACAAGGCGCCTTGTTGGAAAGTGATAGAAGAAGCCGCGCTAGTCCCCGGCCGCCTAAGATCAGGAGCCGAACAGCGAAAAGCATAAAGAGTTGATGCTTTTTAATAAAGCACGTCGGTCCGAAAAGGCGCCGGCAGACTCCTGATTCACCCGAAAGTTGTTACTTAGGTATCCTCGCGGCTTCTTAATTTAATGTAACTTTGTGGCCTCTTCTTTTGAACATTCGCTTGAGATAGAAACATGTTCTCAATTTCTCTCCAAGATGCTCCCTAAATGGGCCAAATTGCCTTGAAGACGTATTTTACACCTAAACGCGTTAACTTCGTCTAACAAGAGCTATGAGTTGTATTCACACATCTTTCTGATGCTTCTGGAGTTAATCCGTCGCCCGGATTCCCGCAGACGATGGAACCGCGAATTAAACAGACTTTAAAAAAAATTTTTAAAAAACGTAAGGAAGCTAATCCTAATCAAGCGGGGTGTAGTGGGCGAACGTGGCTGCCAAGTTTCTGTGCGATCTAGTCAAGGGTGTTGTGTGAACAAGGCCGTGGATGAAATGAATGGAACTGGGTTTTTAAGAAAGCCACGTTTTATCATTTATTTGGCTCAGCTCGGAAAAAAAGCGGAACGCGAGTCGAGTCGCGGTGGGCGGGAACCTCGGAAAAATCCAGCCTGATTGCTAAGCCCCCAAGACTACTTTATTTCTCAACTTCAGCAACTTTAAGATGCGTGGACTTCAAATTCTGCTGGCTAGGGAATTCTGTCATTGACACGACATCACCGGGATTCCTGCTCGAAGTAAATTTCCACCCAATCCCAATTTCTGTTCTCCCAGCTCTTTCCATGAAAAGGTGGGTGGCTCTTAAAAGAGCCTTTGGTGTCGTTGTGGGCGGCGGGGCAGCGGGCGGGCCGGGGGGCTCTACTTGCCCTTGGCCTTGTGGCTCTCGGTCTTCTTGGGCAGCAGGACGGCCTGGATGTTGGGCAGGACGCCGCCCTGGGCGATGGTGACCTTGCCCAGCAGCTTGTTCAGCTCCTCGTCGTTGCGGATGGCCAGCTGCAGGTGGCGCGGGATGATGCGCGTCTTCTTGTTGTCGCGGGCCGCGTTGCCCGCCAGCTCCAGGATCTCGGCCGTCAGGTACGCCAGCACCGCGGCCGGGTAGACCGGGGCGCCGGCGCCGACGCGCTCCGCGT